CATTATCCGGGCTAGCATTACCATCCATTGGTACACCTTGTATGTTTGAAAATGTAACCATTAAATCGTACGTATGTTTCCTCAGGAATGATACGAAGCATGGCCTTGACTTCGTCTCTGGTGTAGGATATAACATCACGTGAGAATTCGTTAGCATATCAGGTTTGGGTTTTACCTAGGCCAACATATTCTTTACCTGAATTGTTGAAACAAAGGTCAATAGGATAGAAAAGGTCAATAATCTGAGAATGCGGCAGACTGGTAAAGAGGCTGCTGAGGTCTGCGGTGTATAAGTGTTTGATCGTCCTGCCTAGTGTAGTGAGCTTCTGCACCACTGCTAGTAAATTGGTGATGCTAAAATAAACGGGGTGTCCATTGTGTGTAGTTGTTTGGATATAGTAATTGCGAAAATGAGTCTTAAAGTGAACTAACAGGCGGTGCATAGTAGTGAAGAAGCTTCAGAGGGATGATTTATTTGCCGCAGCTATGAATCTATATCCGTAGGGGTTCTTATGAAGCTTTGGAACACCGTAGATGAAAGGGATCGATGTATCATCGTCAATGGTGTGAAGTTGAAATTTACTTCGAATTTTGTGGTGGTCGGTGACCAGTTGTTGAACAGAAAACGGCACCGGCCTGTACACACTATTCCCTTGAATGTGATTAAGTGTGGTGAATCCGATCTCATTATAGTGCAACAAAGCATAGTACTTTTTACGTATAATTATGTAGTTATTTGGCGCCTTTTCAACAGAGGCTATGACAAATCGCCTGTGTGCCTCACGCAAGGCTGTGTCAAAACCAATATTGACTAAATTGAAAGGAAAAAAACGATTAGCGGTTCTCCAACGTGTTACAGCTAATATCCTATGCTTGAAATTGTCATATTGGGGAGCCGTGGTACTGGTTCGGCTTGCCATAACAGAGATGAAGGCGTCCAAAGCATGGGAAATATCGGTTATAACTTCGCCTACGGTTTTAATAGTAGGTAGCCTAAATTTAGTGCCCTTCTTCATAACGTATCTTAGTCTAGGTTACCTGCTACAACATTGCAACAGGTAACGTAAACTAAGAACCTAGACCGGCGGGTTCGTAGAGTGTACAGGGACAGTGCACAATGCGCAACGCACAATGCACAATGACAAGGTGTAGATAACAAGTTAGCAAGCTCCACAGATCTATCACTGAGACGTCTAAGAAAGTTGGTGTAGTTCATGATGCGATAGCTTACAGGGCTTTGGTATGTGAAACTGATAATGATACGAGGGGACGGATGTATTGGGAATAAATGTCTTGCCAAAGTATCATGAAAGGTGCTACGAAAATTGAGATTAATGAATGCATTTCTCGGATAAGGAAGAGTGAAGTAGAAAATATCATCACGACTTGGAATTGCAGAAGTTTTAAGACGAGAAAGTTAAAATCCTTGCAGAATGCATGCTTTTGCAAATGGCAGCACCTCAGTAGAAGCACGTTGTCGAAGCATCCTAAGAGTTCTGTTGTTGGAACTGTAAAGTTTATTAAGCAATTGCCGAATTGTCTGAGGGGTATCAATATTACAAGTAAGCGCGAAATCGATAGCTTCCTGGTTGACTAGTTTATTTCTACGACTGCGTCTACCAAGCCTTCTGCGCTTTCAAGTCAGCGGTACTTGAAAGTAAGGATTTTTACCCATAATGAATGGTAGCAGTCTGTCTGATATATTCCCGTAAGCCATGATACAGTCGTTAAGTCCAAAAGGATAAGCCGTGTTAAGGGCCTGTATCGAGAAGTGCTGTCGTTGAAATAAGCTAGTTGTAGTTCTGTCAACACATTCGACAATTTCAGTGCCCATGGGCTCTGGTCCGTGCCCAGTTAGTTGGTAGTGATTGTAAAGGACAGTATTTGTTTTGCGGGCAACATTATATCTGTGCTCCCTTGCTCGTGTTTGTAGTGTTCGTTTGGTTTGGCCCACATGTTGTATGCCACAGACCCTACAGGTAATTACATAAATTATAGCAGTCTTTTTGCAGTTGAGCCAGTCATTGGGATTGCATGGTGGACAAAGCGGGAGCGGGTGACAGAGGATTTTACCAACCCGTCCGAAAGAATCATGCGTCAGCACATGTAGTTGCCACCGCAGGCATGTGTGCAAAAGCGAATGTAATCATCAGTTTCAGTAATTTT